TCTAAACCTATCATTTACTAATATTCGTGGTCTTAGAAGTAACTTTTCTTCTATTGATTCTTACCTCTTGCAAAGTTCAACAGACCTACTTGCTCTTTGTGAGACTAATTTGAGTTCAGCTATCTCTTATGATCTTAGTGTTGATGGTTAACTTCCTTTAATTTGTAAAGACTCCAATAGTCACATGCTTGGCCTGGACATTTACATTCGTAAGAATTCACCCATTTGTTGGGAAACTAGGTTTGAATCCACAGGCTATTCTTGTATATGCTTTTGCTTAGCACCACTTCTCTCTATCGTCTTTTTCTTTGTTCTATATTGCTCTCCTTCATCTCAAGACTGCAATCTTTTTGATGTTATTTCTGATCCAATTGACCAAGCTATTTATCTTTATCCATCAGCCATTATTGTTGTTGCCGGTGACCTTAATGTTCATCACACAAAATGGCTAGACCCTGTGTCAGTGACTCTGCAGGCGTTGAAGCCTACTATTTTTGTTTTTCTCAATCTATAACTTAAATAATCAACTTTCCAACTTGCTTTCCAGACAACCCGAATCATTTACCTCCTCTACTCGAATTATGTCTCGTTTCTGATCCTAGTCAGTGCTCAGTTTCCCCACATTCACCTTTAGGTACTTCTAATCACAGTTTAATTTCTTTAAAACTATTATCTAATTCTTCTTCATCATCTGAATCCTCCTATCATCGTATCTCTTACAACTACCTTAAAGCTGACTGGTACTCTTTCCGTGATTTTCATCATGACGGCCTTTGAGTAGAAATCTTTTGTCTTTCTGCTGACAAATGTGCTTACTTCCTGCTGACGATTGTGCTTACTTATGCTTACAAATACTTATGCTTGACAAATATGCTTACTTCCTGCTGACAATTGTGTTTACTTACTTACTGTTGACAAATGTCTTACATTATTTCGTGAATTCAGGCTGGCATGGAATCTTTTATTCCCTCTCGACAATTCCAGGTCAAACCTAACTCTTCTCCATGATTTTCCTAACATTGTGCTGCTGCAATTTCCAATGGAAACCATTACTTTCATATCTATCAGCAAAACAATTCTCAAGAAAACAGATGTCTGTTTATTACTGCTAGAAACCATTCTAACAGGTTGTGTTCTACCTGATTTACTGTCAAAGAGGTTGATCCATTGCATGACATTTGTATAACTCCAGGCTCTGTATCTAAATTAATTTCTTCCTTAGAATATCCTACTACTTGTGGCCAGGACAACATAGCTGTTATAGTCTTGCAGAAGTGTTCTCCAGAGCTGTCGTCTACATTTATAAAACAACTCAACAAGCACTTATCAGAGTCTTGTTTTCCAGCCTGCTGGAAAGCGGCATCTGCTATCCATGTTTTCAAAAATTCTGGAGAGCAATCTGATTTGTCTAACTACCGTCTACCATTAGTCTTCTTCCAATCATAGGCAAAATTTTTGAATCTTTGATTAACAAACACTTCTCTTGAATCTAATAACTTACTTTCTGATCATCAATATAGATTTTGATCTTCTCGTTCTACAGCTGATTTGCTAACAGTAATAGCCGATGGGTTTTATTGTGCATTAGATTAATTTAAAGAGATTAAAGCCATTGCTCTTGACATTTCTAAACCTTTCATTATAATTTGGCATGTTGGTCTTCTCCATAAGCTTTCTTATGGTGTCTGGTAACATGGTAAACATGCAACTGTGTCAACAAATCTATCTGTCCCATGAACAATCAGTGCTTGACAAAGAACATTGTTTATTAAGCCACTGTGTCATCAAATAAACTTGACTACAAAGAAAAAGTAAATTTTAACTTATGTGAAACTCCATTCAAATCTCAGTATGCTAATCACCTAAAATCTTTTAGCATTAATAAATATATAATTGATAAAACGCTTGTTTTGAAATATAGACATTCAAAAGAATTAAGATACTAAATGCGGTAGTGGTGTAGTGGTAGAGCGCTCGCTTCATAAACGAGTGGTTCCGAGTTCGATCCCCACCACGTCCCTGGTAGTACCGCGCTTAACTTGTTTCTCCGCGCAGCGGCCTTGTTTGTCAAGGTTCGTGTTTCGGAGTTATAGAGTTGAGAGAGGGTTATAGCCACAAAATAAGTAGCCTCCTCGTCTGTAGTGGCCTTCTCGGCCTTGAGGAGGTGAAGTAAAATAAAAAAAATAAATAAAAAAAAAATAACTAGTAATGTCTTGAAATTTAGTTAATAGAATGATTTTTATTTCCTTTATAAGTATTTAACTAATTTAATGTTTTAATACATATTTCAATAACATTTATAATAACTTGTTGTGTTTAAAAAAAATAATAAAAAACCAACTTGCTACAAAAACAGATTGATCGATTTTGGATATTTTCTAAATACATTTTGTATATAAATACAGTGTTTACAAGAGTAATTACAGTATAAAAGTTGCATTTGCTGATAATAAAGCATTTATAAGCGTTAAAATCAGAGTTATCAGTTATCAATATATATATATATATAAATATATATATATAAATATATATATATATATATATATATATATATATATATATATATATATATATATAGACACTTACTAAAGCGTATTTTTATAAGCATTTGCTTATTTTTTTTCTTACCTTAACACATACGGTTTTTTTAGAAAAAGAAAAAAAAAAAAAAAAAAAAACGAAGAATGATGAATGAAATTCAAACCCTCAGCCGATGTAGCAGCACTCCACTGTGAGTCAGGCAATTGGTCAGTCGATGTATGTACTGAAGCCCCCAGCAGCAGGCTATTTCAGTATGATGTCAGATTTCCTACCTTATTACGCAATACTATTTGTATACATACATATATATATATATATATATATATATATATATATATATATATATATATATATATATATATATATATATATCTTTACTGTCATTGAAATTCTGAATTTATTTATAAACTTAACTTTTAAGAGCATTGACACTTTAAATAATGTTATGTGTGAAAGTATTTTCAAGACATTTATGCTAACTGTATCCAGCTTAAAATCCCCAGCCAAAGCTGGTTGAGTAAAGGCTAGAGATTGTGTCTTAATAAAAATACTCATCTTGGGTGATTAATTTAAGAGAGGCAGATGTTAACTGCATCTAGCTAAAATTCCACAGGCCAAGGCTGGTTGAGTAAAGACTAGAGATAGTGTCTTGATACAAATAATCATCTTGGTGATTAATTTAATTTACGAGATGCAAATGTTAATGTTATATTTTTAATCTACAGTTCATATGTTTATAGATTTTTGTTTTATTTGATTTAAAGATAATGAGTTCAGTTTTATTAGTTTAAAAAAAGTTTGTTGAAGCGAAGCCACTGAACTAGATTGGCAAGATCATGGTTAATGTGTTTGTTAATTTTTTTAAGGGATTTATTAATTACTATTAGATTAGTATCATCAGCAAAGTGGTAAACAGTAGCAAACTTAATGGATGTATTAAGATCATTAATATAAAGAAAAAAAAGCAGTGGTCCTAATACTGAACCCTGAGGAACACCATTAGAACATTTTACAAGGGTAGATTTTGAGTTATTGATAGAAAGAAATTGTGTTCTATAGTTTAAATATGTAGTGAACCATTTAAGCGACACACCTCTGATCCCATAATATTCTAACTTTTTTAACAAAATTGGATCATTCAAAAGTTCAGTGGCTTCGCTCCAACAAACTTTTTTTAAACTCTAATAATAATTTTTTTTAACTCTTTTTCTGAATTCATTATCTTTAAATCAAATAAAACAAAAATCTATTAACATATGAACTTTAGATTAAGTGGCAAAAAAATTGAACTTGTTAACTCAATTAAATATCTTGGTATAAAAATCGATTCAAATCTTTCCTTTTTATCCTACTGTAAAAACTTAGCAATGAAACTAAGTAGATCTAATGGTATATTGGCAAAAATTCGCCATTATGTTAATTTTGAGACACTCTTGAACATATACCATGCTATTTTTGGCTCACATCTTAGATATGCATGCCAAGTATAGGGGCAGTCCTATCAACAAGCTCTTATTAGGTTATCCCACCTCCAAAAGAAGGCTTTAAAAATTATTCATTTTCAGCATATTAAATTTAACTCTATTGTGCTTTACCTAACTTCTAAAGTATTAAAACTATGTGACTGTATTCAACTTTTAAACTGTCAATTTGTCTGGAATCACCAACACAATAACCTACCTTTAACTTTCATTACTTTCTTTTCCAAAAGTGCCAACAATCGTTATCACCTTCCTTCCGATAGTAATTTAAACCTGTCTGTCACTAAACACCGCTCTCATAATTACGGGCATAAATCCATAAAATATCAAAGCACTGAAACTTAGAACAACCTTCCTTATAAACTAAAAGCTCTCAATTCATTCTCAACCTTTAAAACCAGTTTATTCTACTTTTTATTAAAAAAATATAGTTAATGTTTATAATTTCTATAATCTATTTTTGTTGTCGTAATTATTTATATATATTGTCGTATATTTATTTATATTTTTTTACAACTTCTATTCTATATTTTTTATTGGTTATTGTTATTTTGTCATTTTTACTAATATTTACTATTGATAACTACTTTTAACTTTTATTATTACTAATACTAATATTGTTGTCATTATTGTTATTATTATTATTATTGTTATTGTTATTATTGTTATAACATCGTTATTTATACTACATTGTTATTTTATGTTATAAAGTTTATTATCGTTATTATATATTGTGAAAATTAGCATTATATTTATTTTAATTAGATATTATTAACATTAGTAGGTGTTTTCTTTATATTAGTATATTTACTATTTGTAAACATCCTTGAATGTAAAACCTTAATTCAGAAATAAATGATTGATTTATTGATTAGTTAACTGCATCAAGCTTAAATTCCCATGCCTTAGGGCTCTTGGTTAAGTAAAGGTTAGAGATGATGCCTTACTTTAGGATGATGTTAACTGAAAAATACATACCTTAGGATGATGTTCAATAATAAAAATAGCTTGAAGTTTTTACGCACCTACAATATAAGATTTTTTATTATTTTAAACACTGATATATATATATATATATATATATATATATATATATATATATATATATATATATATATATATATATATATATATATATTGTTTTAAATACTCAGTATATTGTTTGTAAATATTCAATGTATAAAAAAACAATGTAATTAATATTAATACCATATGATAAAAAATCAAATTTTAAAGAAGGTTGAATGTCTATCAAACGTTATTTTAAATCGTGACAGTTATTTGAATTTCAAACAAGGTTGAAACAGTTACTTGAATTTAAAGTTGAAACAGTTATTTGAACAAGGTTGAAAACTTTTTTTTCTCAAAAAATTTTTGCCATGAACTGTAGTAGGAACTGTAGGACTGTAGATTATTTCCAACGCCTGAATTATTCCATTCCCCTACGAAAAACTCAACGAGATTGCGCTTTCTGTTAAGGCCGTTTTCGACTAGGGGTCGTCCATAAATTACGTCACACATTTTTTGACTAATTTTGAGAAAAAGCGAAAACCAATTAAGTTTTGAATATTATATCACGTGATGTCAACAGTAAAAAAAAGCGAAAGCATGTTGTTTTTAAAGTAACAAAAATCAAAATTCTTAACCTGGCGTTCTTATTAATTTTATATGAACTTACTCTGAAAATTGGCTAGCATGAGTAAATTTATCAAACAAGGGGCAAGACTTACATAAAAAAATGACCAGACTTATATATAAAACTAAATCGAAAATTTACAAATATAAATTTTCACACTGTCAATTACAAAAGTTACACTTCATAAGAATGTTTATACCTTTTACTACTTTTGTAACCATAAACAAAAAGAAAAAATGTTTAGACGTTTTTTCTCTTTGTTTATTTATCTTGTATATGCAATCTTGTTTTGAGTTTTCTATAGGGGGATGGAATAATCCAGGCGGGGGGAATAATCTACTACAGAACGTAAGTGTTTTTGACTGCTCTTCAAGAATATTAATTTAAAAATGGAAATAACGATCAAAAATAACGAAAAATTTATTGCAAATAAGTTTTAGTATCAAAAAAGAACTTTGCTTAAAGAAACAGAAAGATTATTAAAAGACCAAGAAAGGAACTTCACACAAATAGTAGTGGAAATATAAAAATAATTACTAATAACTCGACAAAATAGAAAATGAATTAAACATGCGAATTATTGAAAAAGACTTTAACGATGTGAAAAAATATCTCAACTTTCAAAAAGAAAAAATAAAGAAAGAATTAAAACAAATAAGGAAGAAATATGATTTTAATATTAAAAATATAAATAAAAAAATACTGACTTAGAAAACCGCTCTAGTCGTAACAACATAAGAGTCGATGGATTCAAGCCCATAGTTCAAAATTTTTCAAAACATCATAAAATTAATTTTTTATTTACTTATAATATATAGGTTTGTTATTTATGTTTATTAACAGGACCGCTACACCGAATTAAAAGTAGAGATGTGCCGGAACCAGTTTATGCCGAGTCTCCGATTCCGGGTACCCGGCTGAAAAAACCGGGTCCGAGTCCGGGTACTCGGCACCGAGTCCATTTTTTTAAAAGTTGGAATAAAAACTTGTCAAATCTCTAGCGCTGAACTATTCACACAAAATACGCTTTTTACGCTAACTAACCAAAGGTTATGTGGCGGAAGTACCATTTAACAAAACCCCGCAATGCAGGGTAAGGGGCCTGAGTTGTAGGGCCTAACTTTTTTCAAAAGTTGTGCAACAGTTTTTTATTAACTATATTTAGTTTAAAATTATTTTTCTTTCCTGGTGGAGCGGGCCTAAATAATATTTTGTTACAATTATTATCGAAATTAAAATATGAAAAATGTATATAATATTTACCTTATATCTCTACTTTTATGATTTTTGCTTGATACGAATGAAAAGTGGCATCAGCGTTCGAAAGCATTATAAGCGTTTTATTCAAAACTAAATTACTAAAAATTATCTTCTGTTCTAACAGAATAAAAAGAAGCTATTCTAAAACTTTTTTTCCCATTCTTTTTATTCGTATTCTCGAATTATTTCATTTAGCGTTACAGTTTTTGTATCCGTATAAATTTTTTTGCAAAAATGTATTAAAAATATTTTAGGTGAGATTGTTTTAAGTTAATAGAACTTCGTTGTTATCGACTACATAACATTCTTAGACTTATATCAAGAAGTTTAATGGTTAAAGTTTAAATTTAAGGTAAAATCAATTTGAAGATACCCGTTGCCGGGTACTGCAACAAAATGCCCGATACCGGGTACCCGGTAAAACAGCCGAATTGCCGGGTCCCCGGGTCCGAACCGGGTACTCGGCACATCACTAATTAAAAGACGTCGTTTTTGTAATAAATTTTCATTAAAAAAGTGAAGAAGTTTTAATTTTAATTTTTTTTTTTTAATTATTCATAAATTAATATTTTTTTCGTCAAAATGTTTAAAATATCTTGACTTCTAAGTCAAAAAGATTTCACTTACATAAAGTGAAAAAAAAACTTTCAAAAATTACTATAAAAAAAAAGCAAAAAAATGCAACATTTTGTAATTTTGAATTCGCTGTTCGTTTAAAAAATATCTTTTTCAAGTTAATCTAACTCAATAATTTTTATAACAGTTTTAAAGTCGAGTACTTTTGATGCATTTGGCGATGGTTAACAACAATTTTTTGAGTATTATTGTAATCGCTTTATTTATTTCCATAGAAACGAATTTTCTATCTTAATCAGTTATACAAAAAATATAATATGAGTAAGATTATGGTGTAAAGACAAAATTAATATTTATGAATTTATATAAAAATAACATTTATCAAAATAATTTACTAAAAATTACAATGTTAATATTAATCATAATAGTACTCAGACAAATCAACATCACTTATTTATCAAGTCTATTATTCAAGCCTTGTAATAATCCACAAAAAAAGCACTTTCTTCTTCGTATGCCTCTTCTTCCTTGTCGATCTCTTCTTCTTCGTCTGCGTCTTCTTCCTTATCTGTCTCTTCTTTTTTATCACTCTCTTTTTCTTTAACTTGCTTATTTATTTGGTTCGTTATTTGCTCTACTTCATGGAAGTATGCCAAATCTGGTTTTTTCATTGCTTTAGCAGAAACCGCTAATAAGAGCTTTTCAATATGAGTAGTTTTTGATATATTAGACCATGGAAGTATAAAACAGATGGAAGTTCAACCGCATTGAAATTCTTCGGGAAAACCTTTAGTTTCGTTTCGCCTGAAAGCTTTTGCTTCATAAACATTAAGAAAATGACATCAAGACTGTACATAAATGCTTAATCTTTATACGTTGACGCAAATAGGTTCGATTAGGGCTGTCCATTAATAACGTCAACAATTTTTTTTGAAATTTTTACCTCCCCCTCCCCCTTGTCAACAATTTGTCAAATTTTCAGAGACCCCCTCTATAAATCAATTTTGAATACCTCCCTCCCCTATACTAAGAAGCTAAGCTACAAAATCAGCCTAAATTTCCGTAATTTAAGCAATGAAACTCAAAAAAAAAAAAAAAATTGCTGACATCAACCTTAACTGACCATCCCCCCTCTCCCTTGTCAACAATTGTCAAAAAGTTTAAACCCCCCTCCCCTTTATTTTGTTGACGTAATTAATGGACAACCCTTTGTAACAATTTAAAAATATAGTATTTTGAAGGTTCGCCAATATTATTGGCAATAATATTCAAGAAAAATATTTAAAATGGCGCAACAAAACGGCAAACAACAACTTTTTTATAAACTTCATATAAAATGAATTGAGTACTACAAGAATGAATAGAGTTAATATACAGCTAATAATGATATACAGCTAAATATTAATGATATACAGCTAATAAAATTTTAAACTCTAGTTATTTAAAAAACAATTTTTTAAAATTGTTTTAGTTGTCTTTTTAATCAAATGTCGTGTTTTTTTAATCGTCGTGTCGTGTTTTAATCAAATGTCGTGTCTTTTTAATCAAACGTCGTGTAAATGACCTGAAGCAAGAAAAGAAACTTAAACTAGCATATGCTTTTAAAATCACGAGGTTTTATTTAATTACCGAGTTTTAATAAACTTTTTGCTGAATAATTGCAATTACTAATGGTTAAAACTTTGCAACATACCCCTTGAATAATTCATTTTTTGATGTTTTAATAAAAATCATTTCAGTGAACTTTGTTGTTTTTTTGTCCAGTGAAACTTGTGTTATTTTATTGTCGGTTTCAACCATACTCCCGAGACGACTTGAAATTGCTTTGATATTTGTGGCTCGATAAACTTCCATCTGTTTTATACTTCCATGATTAGACAAAGCTCGCCTTTTAGTACGATGCGCTTTCTCATCCCAGCATTTGTATTTTGGACCTTCATAAAAGAAACTTATTCAAAATAGTATTTTTAAATTAATTATGTATAATTATAAGTATTTGTATTTATAATTAATGACAGCATTTATAAATAAATGACATAATATGATATTTTAAATTAACCAACCTCAGAAGTTCTGAGGTTCCACTGGATTATGAGGTCCTTTAACCTATAATACACCAGCTATCGTTAAATTATGTTCATTTACGGGTCGTCCATAAAGTACGTACGCTTTTTTTTCGTCTACACCCCCCCCCCCCCACACACACACACATTTTGCAATACGCTTTTTTGAGTACCCTCCACCTCCCTAAAAGTACCTACGCTTTTAATCTATTTATCTAACATTTTATGATATTTTTTTAAATTTAGTTTCTCCTTTTTTTTATAATTGACCTACTGCCCTCCCATCTCATATACGCCATTTGCAGACCCCCTCTTCTCCTCCGAGCGCACGTATTTTATGGACGATGCCTTATTTTAAAATACTTATTTTAATAGTAAATATGTAATTTTTATTGCAAATTAGTATTTTTTTGTAAAACTCAAAAACTTGAGTTTTACAAGAAAGAGCCAATGTGATACTTATTCAATATGTATAGTTAAGCACTTCAACATTTTTTTTTAAATGTAAAACAAAAAAAAAAAAAAAAAAATACAATAAGTTAGACCTAAAGATAGACGTTCAAAAAATACCAAACTTATCGTTATAGTATTGTTAGTTGAAAAGTTATGCAACTTTTAAACTAAAAAATTAATGATTTTTTTGGTCAATGACTTTTCACGTTTTCAGCAATTAACGTTTTTGAGAATCGCATTAACGTTTCCATCGCGTTCGTTTTTTTACGAAATAAACTATAAACTAGGGAAAACACTAAATCCAATCCTTCAAAGTGCAATCTAAATTTTACTGACTGATGCGATCTCCAACGGAAATATAGTTGTACTTTAAAATAAAAGAAAGTCTGAGATTTTTAATAACATTCAATAACATTTGTATTCAATATTTATTATTAATCAAGGGGTATGTTGGAAAGTTTTAACCATTAGTAATTGCAATTATTCAGCAAAAAGTTTATTAAAA